TATACACTTCTCCCAGCGTTCCTGCCATTGCTGGAAACACTGCTGGAACGCATCTTTTGGAATGGCCATCAGCCGGTCCGTCGGATTTTGCACGATGTCTTCTGTCGACTAAATTCGGGTTCTTTTTAGCGGCATTTTCAGCTTGGGAAATAGCCAAAAGTCACACGGAGCCATATGGGGAGAGTACGGAGTGTGACGAACCACAGGAGTGTTATGTTTGGCGACGAGAGCCCGAATCAGATGCGCAGAATGGGCGGATGCGTTATCACGATGGAGCTGCCAAGTTTTGATCGACCACAGATCCGGTCGTTTGCGTCGCACAGCATCGGAAATACGACGAAGGACCTCCTGGTAGTACTCCTTTGCGATGGTTTGGCCTTGTGGTGCGTACTCACGACACACCACCCCACGAGAGTGGAAAGAACTGTCAACATGACCTTTGATATTGCTGCGGACCTGCCGCGCTTTTTTTGGCCTCGAGGATCGTCCCCGAAAGCCTGCTGAATCTTGCGAATGGTTTTCGCTTGGATATCGCCAAGGTTTTTGGCAAAATTTGATGTAATATCGCTGCTCACGTTGTTCAATCATTTTCCAACTTAGTGGAATCCGACGAGAGCGCACTACATGACCTCACTCATAGGCCGATTGCCAACGACTGACGCTTCCTGCAGGCGAAAAAAAATTCAGGGCTGTGCATTGCTGTCCCCTCCACAACTCCACCGAAGGAGGCCTGTCGCGCATCATTGGTTTACGCGGAAAAAAAGGTCCGATACTTTTTGAACAGACCTTGTATTTTAGAATAATATTTTATAACGAACATCATAAGAAAATTCTGTTTTTAATTTTGATCTCAGATATAAAACATCTTTTCAAGAGTAAATTCTTTAAGAATTTCTTTAAATAAGAAAAAATATCACAAAATTATTTTAAAGACTCAAAGTATTTAAGTTTGCGTGCTGTTTTAAACGCACAAAAGCGTTTAGTAATTTTTTCTGTATAATATTGATATAAAGTAGTCCCTTCCTAAAATTAGTATTGTATTGTATTGATTTACACTTAAAGTGATAGCTCTGCCATTTAACGTTTGATGTTAATATAAATACGTTTATTGATGTTAGTATTACATATTCGAAAAGTGTGTATTCATAAATTGTAGAAAATAAATTCATAATAACGATTTATTCCTAGAATCAAATTATTATTTGTTATAATTAAACATTCATCATGTACAAGTCTTGAGAAATCAATCCGAGAAATAAAAACTGCTGAACACCAGTTAATTCCATTCTGAAATTTTTCACTCAGATAATTACTTAATGAATAATTCTTACCTCATTACTCTTGTTTCTGTCTTCAATTTCATCATTCCTATCACATTGAAAACTTTCAATTTTATCATCATCATCGTCGTCGTCATTAAAAACCGCACTCTCTAAATCAATGCTGTTCTCAGAGACTTCTTCCTTTGGTAATATTACTGTATGCATTTCTAAATTCTCCAATTGTTTAAAATTTCCAATAAATTCACATTTCCCCTGAAATATATTAATTGTATATATAAATACAATTACTTCTCTGTTTTTATATATAAAAATATTGTATACCTGAAAATGTACACAAATTTGATAATTTACGGTAATAACGACATTCTTAATTAATTTAATTAAGAATGTCGTTATTACCGTAAAAAGTAATTTACAATACAAAACTAATAAACAATTAACGTATTCACCTTCTTTAACGCTAAAATTTTACACGCAGAGTTTAAAAATTGTATTTGATGCGTAACTAGAATACATATCTTCTCTTTCAAATATTCCATTATACATCTGAAATAGATTGAAAATTAAAATGTATCGAAATGTTCAGAAAGTATTTAATAAATAATTACTTTTCGAAGATATGTTTTGCCACTGGAACATCAACAGCACTCAGTGGATCATCCAGGAGGAAAATATCGGCATCCACATATAGCGCTCTGGAAAATATGAAAATATATCACCAATAATAAATAAATAAAACAACTCTTCTTCCATTGTTTAATAGTGTTTTCCGTGTTTTATATTACGAAGTAGAAGAGATAGCATCAAATAAAGTATTAAAAATTAGCACACGATGTCCCTACTATCTCACCACGAAATAACAAAATAAGTGGTTTATCTGATAACAGATAAATATTTTATTTGTTTTACTTTTAACAAATACAACCACGGGGAATTTAGAAAATGTCAGTGAGAAGTGAAACTATAGCCTATAGGTTTCGGGTGATTATTTTTATCAGGATGTAATAACTATAATCAAAACTAGTATACTTATAAACAATATTTCAATTTCATTAAAATGTATTTATTATTGCGGTATATTTGTGTTATTCCTATTAAAATTGTACTTTTATATATTCACACGTAGAAATATAGTTTTACGTAAGACCTGTCTTACCTTGCTAAATTAATTCTTGCTTTCTGCCCACCGCTCATTATCACTCCTCTTTCTCCTACGATTGTCAAATCTCCTTTAGGAAATAAGCTAATATCCTAAAAGTAGTAAAAATAAACATACAAGGTAATTATGTTCAATGTAATGTGCATTGACAACTTTATTAAAACTAAACAAAACGATTGAATTCTAAAAGTATTTGACTTATGGGCGGTGTTTAAATAGATAAATCTGTGTCTTTTGTATTTAAAATCACTATTTGGGCTGATAATATTTAATTTTATGTCATGTTTCCTATAACCGCTTTTTATTAAAGTCCAAGACTACAAAATCAACTTTTTTATTTAACTTTGTTTATAAAAAAATATTGCTTTTTTTAGTCTTGGACAAATCACTTTTCGTCTAGATAGAAGTAAGAAATCAAAAGTATAGCTTTTAAGAGTAAAAATCATCTTACCTTTTCTAGAGCCGTTATATGCAAGACTTTTCTGTATTTGTCTTCTTGATATTCTTCTCCAAACAAGATATTTTCTTTGATAGTTGCGTTGAACACCCAAGCTTCTTGAGAAGCGTACGAAATCTTTCCTTTCACGGACACTTTACCGGAAGTAATTGGAATCTCTCCCAACAAGGACATTAGTAAAGACGTCTATCGAAATTAATGTCGTTTCATTATTGGTAACGAAATGTTTTGCGTAAATAATATAAGTACATAAACATTTTAAAAGTATTTACGTATTTGTGTAAAAATATTATCTCAATTCATAATTGCTTCTTTTAAATCGCATGCAATGTAAAAAGGTGACAATATATTCTATGAATTCGTAACAGAAACTCTAACATCACATTCATAAATCTCTAAGATTTTATCAGCAAACAAACTTTCGTAGGATACATCAATTAAATCATAATACATAATGTTCAATTATGATTTAATTGATTATGCGTGCAGAATATTCTTGCGACAACATTAGACGTGTTTATGCGACAACATTAGACGTGCCAAAAACTAATCTGTCGTACATATAATCAAACGAAAAAAAATGATTTCAATAGAATCAGGCACTCAATGGTTAAAAATATCAGTAGATACAATTTAATCTCTATTTAAGATGCCTCCGCTGAAATTTTAAATTGAAGATCAAATATGATTCTACAGTTCTGTATTTCAAAACAACTTACAGGCTTAATAAAAACAGATTGCAGACATTTTTTAAAAATAAATTGTTATAATGTTACACAATTAGAAATTATGCAATAAGAATAACTTTTGTGTTATGAATAATTTTAGAAAATTTTCTAAGGCAAAAGTGAAGTAATAAAAATTTCGGTGTTGATAATCTATATGTTTATAAAAATGAATGTATATCTGTCTGTATGTCCTTCATGCATTACCACACCGTTTATCCGATTGCCATGAAACTTTGGGAAGTTTTTTAATTTAATACACTCTCGCGAAGGTTTCTGGCATAGTACATTTATCCTATGATAGATGGCGCGAGTGCATACGAGCAATTTATCGTGAGTTCGATTGATATCAAATTGTGAAGACCAGATAAAGAAAAAAAAAGAGAAAAAAAGGTTAACAGGTTTCGCAGGATCTCCTCGGATGAACAAGTTACTAGTACACCCGGTGAGCCAATTCCCCGGGCTGTCCGGACGATAGCACTATCGTAAGCGCGATGCAAGTATAGATTAGGATGTTTCAAAATTTTACAAAATATTATTATTATTCATTGTGAAATTTTGCTGCCCCCTAAAAAGTGCCGCCCGGGGCGGACCGCCTCTACCGTCCCCCCTACGGCACGTTACTGGTTAATACCCTTAACAAATTTTATTTTTTTTTAACTCGCCTTTCTGTGAAATTTAACACCGATGAGTTATTGTTTACACAGCTGGATGACCTTGAACACAGCTGGAGTCGGATTTCCCGGGACATTCTCATAGAAGTCTCGGGAGGACAAGGGTTTAAAGTAGGGTGACATCGAAATTTGCATATATTTTTAAATATTTTTAAAAAATTACAAATTTTATTGCGATTTCCGACCCCCCC